CTAAGAATTTATAGTTTCACTGCGCTCTGGTACTGGTATGTCTCTGAAGGTTCTCATTCATCCAGGTCATGGTATATCTGTCAAAAATAAAGTCAAGGCAACTGGACTTCCTGTATTTTTCTTAAAGATGTTTCACTGGACATCCGACCAGCTTTCTCAATTCAGAATGACTTGTACAAAAATTATCTGGGAATAAATATGGTGAATGTTGTTCAAATCCACATAGTCTGTTAGTCACAACCAGGTGTTGATTGCTTTGGTATAATAGGAGCTAGGAGGTGTTATTAACCCGTCCAGAGAGAGGTGTTAAAACAGCATTGTAGGTGACAGACAATAGATGTCTCATCCCCCTGACCTCTATTCAAGCTTGACTTCTCCATTATTGGTACTGGTAGTATAGCTTTTGTGATATACTGGTGCTTCGACAGGAGAGATCCATCTCTCCTGCACAGCAACCTTACATCTTGCCCCTCCACTTCTCTTCTCCATTCACAGAACATTTTGTAAATGGGTCCACAGAATACAAAGTGTTCTGTGATTGGACAAGAGGAGAGCAGGGGAGGGCAAATCATGTGACGGCCCCATGCTAGGCCCCTTTCACACCTAAGCAATGTGAAGTGTGACTTGGAACTTAACCAGAAATGCTTCAATACTCAGTTTCCATTATACACTAAGATTTCCATTATATTTTATGGTGCCCGTTCACACCTGAGCATAGTGGCACTTAAAGCCTGAAGCTCATTGCTTGAAAAAGGGTATGAGCTTCTTTTGTGGCCGCATCATGAGGTTTGGCCCCAGTAGGCTACAATGGGAGCACCTGAAAAAGCACAAAAATGCACAAAAAACATGCATACTGCAAGTTTTTTGCACGTTATCTTGCCTAGTAACTAGCTTTCCATTGGCTAAAAATAATAATAAAAAAATGTTTAAGCCTGAAGTGTAAATAGGGCCTTAATGAGTGCAGACAGTATTAGATATACTGCAGATAGCTTTTGCTATACTTCTGGAATTCCAACACCCTACACCAGGCAAACTCCGGCCCTCCAGCAGTGGTGTAACTGCAAATCCCAGGAGACATTGCAAGACTCTGACAGCCCCAGGCATAACTCCCAGAGGTAGAGGGATAATGGGGTTTGTAGTTTCATCATAGCTGCAGGTCCAGTGTTAGCCTACTCCTGCTCTAGACCTTCAGGCGCAGATGCAGAGGGTCTCACCGGGGCAGATGTGGAGGGTGCCCCCAGGGCAGATGTGGAGGGTCTCACCAAGGCAGCAGGGGCACATGCGGAGGGTCTCACCAGGGGCACAAGCGGACGGTCTCACCAGGGCCACATGCAGAGGTTCTCACCAGGGCAGCAGGGGCAGATATGCAGGGTCTCACCAGGGCCAGATGTGCAGGGTCTCACCAGGACAGCAGGGGCATATGTGGAGGGTCTTAAATGGGCAGATGTGCAGGGTCTCACTAGGGCAGCAGAGGCAGATGTGCAGGGTCTCACCAGGGCAGCAAAGGGAGATGTGCAGGGTCTCACCAGGGCAGCAGAGGCAGATGTGCAGGGTCTCACCAGGGCAGCAAAGGGAGATGTGCAGGGTCTCACAGGGCAGCAGGGGCAGATGTGCAGTGTCTCACCAGGGCAGCAGGGGCATATGTGGAGGGTCTCACAAGGGCAGATGTGCAGGGTCTCACTAGGGCAGCAGGGGTAGATGTGCAGGGTCTCACCAGGGCAGCAGGGGCAGATGTGCAGGGTCTCACCAAGGCAACAGGGGCAGATATGTGGGAAGTGCTGTGAGATGTGAGGGCCGATGGACGAGCTGTGAAATGTGAGGGCCACTGGACAAGCTGTGTGATGTGTTGGCAAGTTAGTCGTAAGTTAAATGTGGTTTATATTGTGTGTTTAGCTGTTGTTTTTGTTTTTTTGTCCCAATACATATGCTTTTCTAAATCATGTATTATTGCAGTGTTTTACTTTTGAAATCTGTCTACTGGTTAAAATGAGTTTGCCTTTTTATTGCTGTTCACCTGGCTATGTGAAAAGGGTATTTGACATGAATCACACATGTTTATCGCATTGTATAATCTCCTTGGCTGCCGACCAGAAATGTATCTGTGATATGTGCCTGGAAATAACTGAAGCCATGAGGCCCCTCCTAGAAACAGGCTGATGAAAACAGGCTGAGGTACTTTTATTGTGGCTTCTTTTTTATTTGAGTTCTTGGAGTATCTGTGTACTTTGAGCAGTCTACTGTATCGAATTCAGTGTTTACAAATCTCATGTTTTAGGTAATAGTAGGCATACTGGTGCACTTGTAACAACATAGCTGAATCATTTCTGTGAAACATTAACCACTTGCTTTCCGCCCAATGTGAATACACGGGCGGACGGCAACCTCTTTCTAGCGTATGGATGTACATGATTTTTTTTTCTGCAGAAATCCAGCTGGGAATGTAAACAGCCGTTACCGGCTGTTACATAGAAGTGTTCGGCCAGCCGGCCGATCGCTTGTATGACATTAAGATACCGATACTGTGCTCCCCGCCGGTTATCCCAGGTTTCGCTGTCCCCCGTGTGGGTCAGGGACCTGCACAGCGGCTGTCTATACTGAGAAGGAGGAGAGATCAGCATTTCCACCACCGCTGATCTCTCCTCCTCTCTCTCTAAAGGCGGAAGCGATGCGTATTACATCACTTCCGCATTCAGCTGTCATTTCTCTGGCTGCTATAGCCAGAGAAGAAGCTGGTGAAGCAGATGTCTCCATAAAGAGGACCTGCCATTGTATATTGGCTATCACATAGGGAGCTTGTTAGCTCCCTATGTGACAGCAATCAAGTGTAAAAAAAAAAAGTAAAAAAAAAATTAAAACGTCATATTTAAAAAAAAACACCAAATTTTTTTGAAGACCTCCGCTCACACGTGCACGCACATATAAACATAAATATGCGTTGGGCGTGCAAACTTGTGAAAAACAACGATTGCGCCAAACGTTACATATCACCGTGAAAGTGGGAGTGTGAGCAATAATTCTAGGGCCATCAATCACTCCAGTGATCCAGGTTGTGGGTGGGCCCTCATCATCCTATTGTACCAATTGAGGGCTTGTTCACACCAAATCTGGACCAGATCTGGGTGAGTTTCTGCATATGGAGTGCAGTGCCTTGTGAATCATTTTTGATGCGTTCAAATCCGTTTTTTTGTTGTCGCCTAAAATGGGCTTTCAGGTGTAGTCTAGTGCGTTCCAAAGCATTTGCATGTGTTTTTGTTGTGTTTGCATGTGTTTTGATGCGTTCCAGAGCAGGAAAAATAGGGCCTGCTGCAGTTTTTCCACATGCACTGGAACTGAACGCTCTGATGTGAACTAGAGCCCAAAATCCCATTGGATGCATTTTTGACGCATTTTGGATGCTCTGCTCCGCACTTGGTGTGAACAAACCCTCAGGACTGCTTGTCCTGCAGTGCATGTGATGCCGTCAGAGGACGACTGCCGGATGAGAAACTGGTCACACGCCATAGTGGACGCCTGCTGGAGCGAGGGATAAGGTAGTTATTATGGCCCGTTCACACCTAAGTTTTGCATTGATTGCACGATACTGTGCGTTTAACATATGCTATTGCACAATGCATCTACTAGCTATTTTTTGAATGGCACCCCAATACACCTCATGGCCGCTTTGCACTATGTTTTTCACTGCACCGTATTATTGCGGTACTGCACAGAGGCCGGGAGGTGCATTGTGCACAGTAACATGCACTAGGTGCTTTGTGTGATAGCATGCGTTAAAACCATGCTTAGGTGTGCATGGGCCCTTCCAGCTTATTCCTGAACCTAGTGAGCAGTTAACCCTTGAAGTGCAAGGAGAGCTCACTTCAAGGGTATTTTTTAATGAAAAAAGTATCATGGCCAGTAGTGTACTGCAATGCTGTAAGCTTCTCTTCCCTGAGTTTCTCAGATCCCAGGCAGTCAGGGGCTGTCCTTTTGTCTTGCAAGCTCTCTAGGATGTGCACAGGTTTGTTGGCTGCCGGCAGTGAAGGGGTGTGCGGAGGGGGCGTGTCTGTGACCCACCCTGATACACACAGGCACACTCCCAGCGAACACAAACTTATCGGCAGCAGCAGTGGAGGGATCAGCCTAAGCGTCCTCGCTGGGTATCCCCAGCTGGGCTGATCTATTATGTGCCAGCCAGCGTAACAGCAGCCTTATCTCTCCCCGAGGAAGGGGGGAGGAGGGAAAGGAGGAAGACAAGATCGGGCTGTCTGTTGTGCTGTCAGATCTCCTGAGCAAACATGCCGGGCAGCGATACGGGGATAGCTGTGGACAGGACTTACTCCGATCCGGAGAGGCACCAGCGGACCAAGACGAGGGTAAGACATGCCAGTTCTAGAGATCAGATCGGGGAATCCAACATGTAGATCCGCAGCTGATGTGACCCTACAAGCCCCAGCATGGACCTGGCAGCCTGTATATGCTGAGTCTTGGGGTTCTACAACTGCAGAGGAGACTGGCGTTCCCCGATCTGCTGTGCGATCCTCTGCAGAATGGAAGATCGCAGGGGGGGGGGGGGGGTTGCTGTACTGTATGGGAGCTGTATTATCTACAATGGGCACTTTGGGATGAATCCAGCATTAGCACCCCCCCTCATGATGAGTTAGAAATCAGACAATGCTATTGTTATGTGGAATGGGTTGAGCGCTGATTGGACGCCATGTACAATGTATGTGACATGTTTAATGTAGAGGAAGTTGCCAGTGTGTTCCTGTATGTGCTCTGGACAGAGATGTCTGTACACTCCAGTGTAGATCAGAGCCATGTGTTTAAGTCCATACAGGTCAGTGTGACAGATCTCCAGCATGCCCTCTCTGTACACTGCCATGTGTGTTCCTCCAGTCTATACACTGTGTTCTGATCATGCTGGCAAATGGAAACCGTAACTATGCTATTAATACAGTCTTAATGACTCATGCAGCAAGTTTAAATGGCAGTAATAATTACACTTACCATGCAGGTAATATGACATGTCAGCTTAGCCTTAACTGGAGCCAATGTCACCATCTTCTTATCATGCAGGTTATCACATTGTAATTGGTTGTTATTAATTAGAGGGAAAGTCCACCTTTTTTAGGAAAAAAAATAAATGCACACTCCTTCTAAGAAAAAAATGGGCATTGTATTATTTCTATTGTATTGGAGCCAGTAAAGTACTACAATCGTGATCAGTAGATCATGGGTGCAATGCTTTGGCTCCTGTAGACTCTTGCCCTCCATGTCCCTACCTCGGTACAGATATTCAGGGATGGGAGGAGAATGAATGGATTACAAGTGTGGTGACGTTTCTGCACTTGTATTCCAGTGAGAGCTACAAGTCCCTCTGTCACTGTGGCTGATAGGATTTGTAGTTTCTTCATTCACAGATCCTGGCAAAGGATCTGTGAATGGATGATGTGGCTGTGTGGACAGAGGTGAATTTTGAAAATCCACACCAGCCAACAGGGAGAAGAACCCCACAATTCAGGTAAGTGGGATGGTGGTGCAGGGGCTGCGACGTGACCATTTTTCATGTTATAACATGAGCCTTTCACTCACTAGAACTGACATTACTTTTCAGGATCCTGACTATGGTGTCTGTGAGGACACTTGACACCAAACTATAACTACTAAGACATGCTGCCAAGTCACTACTTCCCCAACAGGAAATGCAGGAAAAATGCACTGAACAACTATGTGGAGAGACAAGGTTCAGCGACCTAAAGCTGGCCAAATGCTAGCAGAAATTCAAATGAGCTTTCATGCAAAAAATCCCGTCAGAACATTCGATAATGCCATCACAGACTTGACGACAAATGTGGTTTGAAATTTCATTTGATTTAACAATCGATTTCGGAATAAATGGAGTCTCCCAAACAAAAACCACGTTCACTGTTAAGAAAAAATTCTTTCCTGCTCCCTTTTTTTCTAACTGATGGTCAATATAAACCCCATTTACTATTAAAAAAACCCGAACAAATGTTCCGAAAAAAATCCCACTGGTGTGTAGCGAGCTTAAGTATAGTAATAGATGTCACAACTTAAATGAAAAACCAATGGCGCTTACATGGACAGTGGAGCAGAATCAGTTTGTCCTGATCCTAGATGGAAACCAGTGTGTCCAAGCCGGCACTGGGGCTGTATGGGCAGGAGGAGGCAGGGCATAGTCTGTCCTAAGTCTGCTCTACTGCCTATGTAAGTGCAATTGGTTTTTCATTAAAGCTAAACTACACCTATAGAAATCTATAGTTGATACTATGTAAGTTTTGTATAAATGATCCCTGGCAGGGCCACTAGGATCCTGTAAAATTCTGTAGTAGCCTCTGATTGGATGTCACATCATGTCACCAATCAGAGAACGCCTGGTATGCATTCATAGAAATACTAGGCATTTGCTGAATGGCCGCTGTGCTGAGCGAGCAACCCTCTGTGTTTTAACAGCAAAGGGGAAGTCAGTCAGCACAGCGGCTGTTCCTATACCTGGAAGATCGTAGCACTGTAGTAGCTGTGTCTACCTGCATGGATCCCTGTGGTCCTACTAGTATAAGTTATGCATACTTACTTTGTACCAAGCTGGACCAGTGCAATTACATATACATTTTTTTCTGTAGCTGGAGTTCAGCTTTTTTACCTACTTGGGTCACTGTGTCTTGTCTTTCTACTTTGTTGTGTTCAGCTTCTGGATCTTCCCTATTTTACCATGCAGGACCTGAGTATTACACACATTCTTTCTGTGTAAGAAAAATGCACAAAGTGTCACAAAAGCAGAAAACATGTCTTGTGAACTCTCCCATATCAGCAGTTTGCCATAAGTCACGGAGCTGTCTTGACATGCTGAGACCTCTTTCTCCGCGATATACAGGCCGCTCATTCATTCTCTTTTTTATTGAGGATTTGTCTTGGCAGTAGGGGAATTCGTATCATAGGCATCATCTACTTTGTTGTTGCCTTTAAGGATTTGAGAATGTTCACGCAATAAATTGTGTGCATATTCACTTAAATTATCCAATTATGTGCAGATAAAATAAACAAGGATTTACTTTACGTATGATTGGATAGCGGAAGAGATATTTACACACTTTACTGCGTGAACATCCTCAAATCCTTTAACAAATTGGCCTCATAGTGTGAATACCACTTTTAATATCCAATCATGCAAATAGAAAATTTCTGTTCACTTATGATTGGATAATTGACATGGATATTCACACAATTTATTGTGTGATTGTTCTCAATTACTTTAGTGAATCTGCCTCACAGTTCACATCAATCATCCAATCATGTAAATAGAAAATGTGTGTTTTTACTAATTTCCTTTGCACATGATTGGATAATTGAAGGGAATATTTACGTAATGTATTGTGTGAATGTTCTCAAATCTTTTAAGTCAGTTATCCAATCATGTAAAAAGCCTCCCGTTCATTTCTGCTGCACATGGTTTGATAATTGAAGTTAATATTTACACAATTTATTGTATGAATGCTCTCAAATTGTTTAGTACAGGGATAGGCAACCTCATCACTCCAGCTATGGTGAAACTACAAGTCCCAGGAGGCATTGCAAGACTCTTGATAGGCATGACTCCCAGAGGCAAAGGCATGATGGGATTTGTACTTTGACCATAGCTGGAGTGCCAATATTGCCTTACCCTTGCTTTACTATATATCAGCCTGGCAATGTCTTAGATTCACACCTAATCACTCCGCTCATTCCAGTGTCTGGGCGTTAATAATTGTGCATGCTTTCCGTGATGTAAATATTATGTACCCGATCGTGTATGATAAAGCATGTGTTTTCAGCAATTAAACATCTCTCGTGGATGAGTTCTCACTTAATTAACTTATATGCGTTCTGCAGTTATAGGTACATTGGATTGTGCCTTCTTTTGGTTTAATCCTAATTATCAGTAGTGTGGGTGCTAGAAGGAAAAGAGATCGGGGCTCGATGTGCAACCACAACAAAAAGGATTTTGCTTGGCTAAATTTACAGGGAATGTTATTGTTCTATCATTTTGGGGCTTTTTGAAATATTTTCTCACTGTATTATGTAGGATATTAGACTTCCTGTGGTACCAGTGAGTCTAAAGCTGATTATACACATTATTGGATTGTACAGTGTGTTTTAGATCTGGTGGCCGCTATGTACAGCAAGGGCCTGCCTGAATTGCCAAATTGAACAGGTTGTGTTGATCATTCTATGATTTTGGTAAATGGCATTGGAAATAGGTTGTACAATCAGTTTAATGTGTATGTATTAACTTTTGTTAAACTGGGTGGTACTGAACACGACATCCACCGCTTGAAATTTCAAGCAGTGTATAGTCTTTAAGACTTTACTGGATCTAAGATGAGCTGAGAGTGGAAGTCTAGTGAATGTCAGATTTTTCAGTACATTTTCAGTATTGCTGCTGATTCCTCACAGACCTTAGCAGCTTGGAAGTGCTCTTCTCCAGTGAATACTATTTGATGTCCCCACCCTTCCCTGAGTTTTAGATCAGAGTGGGATCGGTATGCAATTTGACGAGCTTGAGAGATCACTCTGTCAGTTGAATGCCTTGGGGGTGGACTGCAGCTGACTGTTTGGTGGACAGTTTTTTCCACAGGACACCTTCAACACGAGTTGATTGAAAAAATTGACTTTTGACAGACTGGGTGGAGCTGGCAGAGCCACCCACAGGTTGAATTTTGGTCAATTCAGCAGGAATTCCATACATGTATGACCAGTTTAAGGGCTCATATTGACTGGCTTCGTTTTTCTGCATTTGATGTGTCCCCAAAACTCTTTTTAATGTAGTTTTGAATAGAGCGGAGAGGGATTAGAACACTGGTCTGATTTTTTTTATTGCTGTCCCTCTCTATTTGTGCTGGTGACCATTATCACCGAAATGCTACCTTAACCTGTTCAGCTATCACCTACCCTCTCTGCCTTTTAGGCAATCCCTGAAAACACCTCTCCTCAGGAAGCCTATCCCACCTCTACCTAACCGATGAGCTACTACTTTTTCATACAACTAGTTCCCACAAAGCTATCACCTTTTTGTATCACTTGTCCTTCCCTTTTAGATTGTAAGCATTCATGGGCAGGGCCTTCCTAACCATGTATACTGTCTCCCTTTTATATTGTAAAGTGAATCCTGAATAATGATAATAAAGTGAAAGAAAATCTAAAATTTTGTGTTGTCACCAGAGCGGGAATAGATGGGAAATCTTCCAATGAGGGCACTAGTTCTGATAACCCTGCTGACCACCAGGGATTTCCCTCTCACTTCCTGTTATGGATATTGGTCAGGAAGTAAAGGAAAATGTCACCCCCTTCCCCAATGGGAAAAGGAGAAAAAAAA